GTCCCGTCACTTCTCAATCTAAGCTTTAAGATTTTTCATCCCATAGTCGATTAACGAGATCCATAGTCGAATAGGATCCAGAATATGGATTAGTCTAACAATATTAAAACACAAATCCGCCGCCATCACTTCTCAAATCTAGGATTTTGCATTTGCTCTTGCATTGACTTCATTTGGATCTCCACTTCCGGTGGAGTTGAAAAAAATCTCGATTTTCCAGTCCTTGTACTCGTACTTTTAATTCCAAGTCCTTTGCTCTTTCCGAGAACTTTTTCGATCGCAGTTGAGATGGTTGTGCTTTCGTCACTTCCATCACACACGGTCTCCTCATAAACTCGCTCCAAATGAGCCTGAAATTGAATATAAAAAAAAAATGTATGTACACAACATCTTAACATATTCAAAACAATATCCATATCCACACATCTCAACTACGTACTAGTTTAATATATCAAACGATAAATCGCATATGATAAACTAAAATATTCATATTAATAAACCACAACAGCATATCCATATCCATAGATTAGAAACGTATCCATATCCATAGATCCCAACTAAACACAACAACAATAAACATAAATATTTAGCTTACTACCATTTGAACAATAAAATTGCATTACACTTACTGAAATGTCATGTTGTTCGGGAGTTGTTGTCCCATTAAGCGATTCTCTGTATCTCCCTCCTCACTAATAGTTGGCCCGATTCCCCTCAACACATCATTGTCCATGTAGGCTTTCTTATACGTATCAAACACCGTAGGACTTTTGCCAATTTTTTTAAACAATAATAATAGATTATAAAGTAAGTAGGTATTTTAAACTTAAATAAATTAAATTATAGATCAAATCACTTACATGACTGTAAGAACAACTATTGATACTTGTTCGACCTCAATGGTGGTTTGTCGAGACTTTCTTTCGCAAGTCATTGCATTTATTTGATTTCAACTGTGAAAAATAGCACATAAATTAATACACTTTAATATATATAAATATGATCCATAAATTAAAAGTATAGAATTTAAATTCCCATCAACCCCATGAGTAGAAATAGAATGAATAGTTTCTCCTAAGTTTGAGCATTGATCATATTTGGACGATTTGCCTTAGCAGTTGCAAGGTCTGGCGCTCTATCAAAAATTACCTTCAATCCTTTAGGTTTTTACATCTTTCCAACGACCATTCGCAGCCTCATTGAACCATTTCTTTGTAGCCTTATTTTCAGGAAGTTTCCAGGTTCCCTAACAGGCATAATGAAGATTTCATTGATTTGAAACAAAATAATTTAAATAACTTAATAAAATAAAATAAAAATTAACTTCAAATACTTTTGTTATCAATTTGGCCACTCTTTCTTTTCAATTATTTGGTCATCAATTAATTATTTTTACTGTCTCCAACAGTAATTTAACTGTCTTAGAGAATAATATTAATTATATTACTGTTAGGGAAAATAATATTCATAATATTACTGTCCCAAACAGTAATATTACTGTCTGAGACAGTAATTTAGTAGCCAAGATAGTAATGTTAATTCAAATATTTTTTTCTAAGAAAAAAAAGTTTCAAAAACAAAAAAACAAAGTCAACGTCGGAGACCGGCCGGAAAAAAATTTCAGGAAAAAACAAAGTTTTTTAGAAAAAAAAAAAAAAAAAAGTCAACGCCGAATCTGGCCGGAAAAAAAATTTCAGAAAAAAAAATTATTTTCTGAAAAAAAAAAATTGGGGGTTAATGTGATATATTTGTTTAAATCCGGGATCAATGTGTAATATTAAGGAAGTTAGAGCATAATGGGTGGAGTTGATAAGAATTATATTATAGAGGGTATTTTAGACTAAAGACATGGGGATGGGTTTAATGGAGAGACTGTTTTTTATTGTGGACCAAAAAACATTTAAGTCCCATGTGATGGGCCTTTTTGCCATTCGCCATATTAAATATACGTTACAGAAAAAAAAAATACTAAGAGGGAGAGTCCTACTGCTGACAAATAGGCAAATAGGCCCATGACAAGGACACTTAATTAAAAAAGGGACATCCAATTTTTTTTCTTTCAAATAAATCCACCCCATTCAAACTTATTTGCAAATAAGGAAAATCCTTTTATATATACCAAAATTATCCCCAATTCATTGAAACCCAATTCAACTCCAATTTCATGATTTACACCCCAATTTAGCCCAATTTCATCAATTAACCAATTTTAACCCTAATTTCAATTTTGACCCCAATTTTAATAAACGAGATACGTGCCAACCA